TTGATGTCATAAAATTTGCGAGGTTTTGGAATCATACTTATTAGGATGTTTTCATCACTTGCTTTCCTGTTGCATCAGATTTTTGAGAGCAAACATCTTTTCCTTGAGTGCAGAGACTTTTCTTTTTTTGGCACTGTCTGGTGTGCATMATCATGTTGACTCCTGTTAGATAAAACACACAAGGTTAGTCAATTAACTTTTTTTTTCATATAGGGGCCACAGGATTTATGCAGATGTTCTGTTTATTCAGTTCAGTGTGATTTACAAAGCATCACAAATGAATGAAGTGATCACCTAAATAAAAAAAGAAATGCTACCTTCAAGAAAACAATTTTCATATAGCTGTAAATTTTTTATACTAACCCCAGTAGCTCCGCTTAAAAAGTAAAAATGAAACAACATTGTTCACAGTAATTTATTTAAATTCTAAATTTAAAAAAAATTATGTCATGGTTTAATCATTTATACATTAGTGTTTTTGGTAACATATACTCTATATTATGACAGAACAGATGTATGACCTCAGTTTGTTTGCCAAAATGGCAAAACAGTTATTGTAAAGCTGTGAAGTTAGTGCTGCCTGTTGTCTTTAAATATACATTCATTTTCTGTCCAGACATAGAGAGATAAAAATGATTCCACTCCATGATTATGTGTCTATTTTAAGTGAATTATGTTTGCCTTAAAGCAACAAATCTACAAAATCATTGTCTTTGATATTAAACTGAGAACATTGCAATACAATTATGGCTGTTGCTAATCTCTGACTATTAATTCAGTGGGTCCCAAATTTCTTTTAGCCCATAAAAAATCTGTCTATTGACTATAACATCATGACTACAGATGCAAACAATAAAGTGGCATGTTTTTCCACGTGTAAGCATCAGCCATATAGGATTTTAGCCTTTTTGAGCTTCCAGCTGGTGAGCAGCTGTGCCAGAGAGTTGCCGATTTAGAGACACCAGTTCGAGCCGCTCGCTGTGATCAACACGGTGTGATCGCTGGCCAGATCATTGGCTGACTATGGCAGGGTTAAGGTCCCTCAGGCAGTTCAATTAAAACAGCTGTAACAATAAAAAAGATCCTCCCACAATGATGTTACAAAATCAAAGACAGCTGCAGAAATGACTAAATCCAAATTTGTGTTCCTCTTCCTCCCTTTAGAGGCTATCTGTCAGTATCATTTTCAGAGGAGCACACTCTGTGAGGGTCACACTACATATGTGTCTTCCTCTCTGGCAGTGGCAGGTTTTGGATTTTTCTTTTTTTAGTCTAGGCCCTTATAGGAGCTACATTTGAAGTAGGAGTGGCAAATCAGATCTCCTCCTAAAGATGGATATTTAAAACATATAATTTACAGTGGGGTGTGAAATGACAGGTGAGCTCCAGTTCATTCGGAGACGCTGCGTTAAAAAAGTTGTTTACTTTATAAATACCCATATATCACCCATCCATCCATCCATCAATCCATCCAACCATCAATCCATCCATCCATCCATCCATCCATCCATACATACATACATACATACATACATACATA